GACCTGCTTGGGTTGCAGGTACAGGCGCAGGCTGGAGCAGGGAGGCTTAGTGCTAAAAGTTGCGCTGGTCGCTCCTTGCACATCCAGAACTGCTGTAAAATTATTTGCAGCTGAGATCATGGCGGAGACCTGCATCCTAAATCTCTTCTGAGCCTAGCTTTGCTAGCTGCAAAGTAGGGATGTAAGACTCATCACTAACCAGAAAGGTTTTGAACAAGCTTACGGCCTTTGCTTTGAAAAGATCACGTTCACGGGTGTGTTGTGCCGACCTGCTGTAACGAACTCCAGAGACATGAGAGTGTTAATGCATGGTAATGCTCCTTCTGGTACACAGTACCCCAGCAGGTAGAAGCAGGAGCATGAATATTTGAAATGTAACTTTCCCTAATGTCACCCCATTTACTTTATGTCAGACTGTGTTTATCTTCCACTGCTCACATTTAAATGTCAGAGTATCAGCATGTCTAAATTCCTCTTTTCACAGATGGAAACTGTCGATTTTTAAACACAAAAGGCACCCAGGAATGTGATATACATATTACCCTGGCACAGAGTTTAACCTTTAAAGCTTGTTCTTTAAGAACCTGCTTTAGGATAAAGCCAATCACTTCAATAAAATGATAATTTACGGTTCTATAGCTCCTGGATCCTGAAGAAACCATAAGTACTTTGCAAAGGATACAAGCAGCATAGATCAGGCTCTAAATAATATTAATTAATGTGCAAGATAATGGAGGACTAAGAGTTTATGCTTCCCACGTACCTCGGGGTCTTCCTGGCACTGGCACTGCAAGACAATGAAGTGGAGGAGGGCTCAGGCAGAGCCTGGGAGGTTGGCTCATTGCACTCCCGCTTTTTTCCGTGAAAGCTCAGACCATCCTCCTGGACTCTGCGGCGTGGACGTGGGTGCTGTGGAGGCCAGCGCCCAGCGGTGCGAGCCCACAGGTGCTCCCATTGAGCCGGTACAGCATTGCCCGCTGGAAGTCCCCGCAGAGCCGAGCAAGGACACCGACAACGGGGCAAAGTGAGATCCAGAAGTGCTTCACAGACACATTTGGTGGTGGTGGTGATTATTCAAGCCCTCCACAGTTTTAGGCTGTGATTTTGTGAAATGCTTTTAAGATTAAGATGCAGAGATACTTGCTGGAATTTGGGGACCTACCTCTGACTCTCAGGATTGCCGCCCCGTGCATCCACATCCCGTGTTGTCTCTCCCCTTGGAGTCCTTCAGTCTGGAAGAGCCAAAAGAAGCTCCAAGTCAGACTCCAAGCAATGCAAGAACTGAATTTTAGGACCTGTTTTCAGGATGTTTCTATATTTTTTGGACCCCAGCTAGAGATGTGACAATCAAAACAATAAAATAAGGCTCAGTGAATGAACAGATATCTCAAAAAATCAGAGCCTGCTTTGGGCATTTTGTGAAAGATGAAAGCAATTTTGGTGTTTGTGGCCCAAAATTTTGTGTGCCTTTTGGGTGACAATGGCCGGTTATTACAACAGGTGAATTTCAATGCAAATTTGATGACAGGAGTAAGGAGACGAGGGAGCTCGGGGACATTATTTTAAAAGACAAAATGTGCTTTAGCTGAATATTCTCCATTTGGTTGGCTCTTGACTTTACAGGATTTGGGACATAAAAGCAGTGCTTGCCACTTTGGTGAGTCGTGGGGCAAAGCTGGATACCATGAGCTTTGCCAAGCAAGAATAGTCAGTGGAGAAATTTTTCCATGTATTTTTGACCCTCGATACACTCCAGTCGGCTTGGATCCTTCCTTGCCAAGAAGCAAATGCCAGGGATGCTTTTCTACCACAGTCACACCAAAAATCTCTGAGCCATTAAAAGCCAACACTCAAAGGAACAAGGTTTCACTGGTTTGGACATCAGGTACAAATCTATATGGATCCTTTAACTGGGTAATACCTCCCTCTCTTCTTTAGAAAAATATGCCTATTTCACGGTGGGAAAATCTCTCTCTTGCTTTCACTTATGGAGCCTGGGAGATATCTCCACCAATTACCATGTTATTAGCTCTTTTCAAGGACAAAAACAAATGGGCAATTGAGGTTTGATTGCATTACAGAATGGTCTTTTTTCCTCTGTTTATTTTTGTCAGCTATGTCTAGGTAATAAATTCCAGGAAATGAGACAGCGGTGCTATCTGGGGGCAAGTTTAGCTTATATAGGTCTGCACAGGCTTTTTGTCTCAGCTCTACAGATACCCTCTGGAGTTTCATACTCAGCCCTGCCGCGGCTGCCGTGACTTGCCCTTGCTTTCATCTCTGCCAAATTCATTGCAAAGCTGTATCGAGAAAATGCAGTTTCACAAGATGTGGGAAAAGGGTTGCTCACATACAGGAGCGGAAACAAGGTCTGGGATCAATCCTAAGGTCTTTGCATTGTATCGGGCAAATTGCTTCGGAGTCTCCCTCAGCACCGTGGCTCCTATCCTGACCGCTCCTCTGCACCCATCGACCCCAACCAGCCCAAGGAAAGGGTGTCACATCCCCCTATGCTGCTTTTGTAGTGGGTTCTAAATTTTTACATAGACTGGAGAGAGGCTGAGTCTAGCAAGGCTCATGGAAACAAGCAGGCATTAAAGGTAGGACTGGCACGATTCATCCCTTACAGATATGTATGCTAATCCAGTATGCTGAATTTTCCACTGATCCCTGAAAAGCATTCCCATAACCGTTCATTGATGTCTGTGTGGCACAAGTAACTGCTCAATTAAATCACAATGAAACGGTTGTTTGATACCCTTCATTAGAACAAAGCTATTTGGCAGGAAAAGGTGAAGAATGGGTAAAATAATAGTCTACTAATTGCATTACATTTCATCCTCCAGCACTGTAACCTCCCCTCTTATAATTACAATAACTCTGAGCTAGAGGTTTCGTGGGATGAATGGGATGAGTAGTAGAGAGTATAATACTGCCGAGGAAGCAGTAACTTTGTTATGGTGGTAATAGGAGAAGGGCTGGGTAGGACATATGCCCAGGATGGCACGGTGTCGCTGAAATGCAGTTGTCAGCACACGTGCAGAGCTCTGCCTGCACGCAGCTGCAGCGACCAGATGCTATTTAAGCTGATTTGCCATGTAATTTTATGGATCGTCTTTAAAATATGGCTGTTGGGAAGTGATAAGCCTATGACTTTATCTGCAAAAGAGAGTTGTTATTTATCTGGGTTGATTGGATCATAAAGTCAGGACCTTTAATTAAAGAGTACCGTAATCCAGAATCAAAATAATACAAGTTGATGCCCAGCACACGGAGTGGGTCTTCCTTAAAGCAGCTGGGCTCTGTCTGCTACCGAAAGTCCATTCATGCTGTTAACAGCTTCTGTCCAACTCCATATACTGACTGGATTTTTAATAAATTCTATGATATTGAATTCACCAGCTCACATCTGTGTATGCTCAGCAGATGGCTTTATGAAGAGGTGAGAGCAGCTATTCCACAATTTCCAAGCATCCCGTTGGAAGTCACCCCAAAAAGGTGGTTCCCCCCCGCCAAGTGCTTTAATGTGCAGTGCGGTGGGAGCGGTGTCTATTCGTGTCCCAGCAAGGGCTTGTCTGAAGGGTGTAACTTAAAAGAGCAAAATCGACTACTGCCCGTCGGGAGTGCTCCAGCCCGGCGCAGAGCTGTCTGCCAGCAGCTCATGCTCTGTCCCAACACAGGCAAATTTCACAAGGGGAGAATAGCAAATCCTTGACCCCCTCTGAGCCTCACACTGGGATTTGAAAGCTGGACTGCTAGTGTTCACAGCAAAGCAAACCATCGCCATGCTTTTAAAATGAGGAATATAATGTATTTTTTAACCTCTCTTCTCTTTTTTGAGCAGCTGGAATATTTTAGCCAGTTTCTTTCCTCTTTTTTTTTTTTTAATTTAAATGTTACAGAGGAAATTTCAAGCTGATTAGTTAGAGTCTGGTAAAGTAATAAAGTGACTGAGAATAGTGTATGAAAGCAGAATTCCCAAATCAGCGACAGTTGTGCGGCTGCCGAAGCGCTCCGAGGTCCCAGGACAGGCGGGAGCGTCACAGTGCCCTTGGCTGAGCTGGCAGGAAAAGGTCAGGGACTTCGCTGCAGAGGCGAGGAGCAATTCAGGCTGAGGTCACTGCCAGAAGCTTTAGTTTCCCCTGAGCACTGAGCAATGCAAAAAACCAGCGGTGAGTACTCACAAAGCCCAGCTGCTCCTGGTGGAACAAATAAAGCCCCAAACCTCTTTTGCAAGATGAAGGCAACATGCAGCCGGGGACTGCAAATGAGCCTGCCGCTTTCTTTGTCAGGTTGCAATCCTTCCCTCTCCTTCCCTTCTGTTTCTCTTTCAGTCCTCCCCTCCCCAGCTTTGAATTTTGTTTGCTTTTCCTTCTCTTTTCCTTCTCTTCACTTTTTTTTGTAAGTCCAGACTCAGGCGGGGACTGTGCTGCCTTCCAGATGCTAAAATGGATTACTGGATTAACTCCTCCTTTGGCTGTTTGGCCTCGCAGAGGCTGGAGGTCAGGGAAGTTATTAATTCACAGATTTCTCCATTTGCTCACTGCGAAAGGGCTGGAGCTATTGACTTAGCAGATTCATTGGGATCTTGCAGCCATATTACAGTGTGCACTTCTGTAGGCAATAAATCAATATACATCTTTTGATGTCTCTTGTTATCAAATGAAAAAGAAGCATATGCCATATTACAGATACGTACACGAGCCAAGGGAAGAAATGCAGTGTGTGTGAGATGCTCCAGCCTTTCCAGCAGCAGGGTGCCAGCTTTGAGACTCATGCCTGCGGGCCAGGTGACCATGGTATTGCCAGGGACAGAGATGAGCCCTTGGCCATGTGTGACACCCTGCGAGGCAGCGCTCCCACCCAGGGGCCCGTGGGGAGGCGGGTGGCAGTCCCGATGCCTGCCTGGGTGCTGGCTGCACACTTGGCCCTGGCAGCTGTTCCCTGCCTCCTCCCGTGCAACGGTGACAAGCCAAAAGGGAGGTGCAGAGCCCGCGACCATGACAAACGCGACAACGGCACATCGGGTAGGTGGGAAGCCAGCTGGCTAGGCACAGGGGGCAGAGCATTAAAGGTTTTAAGCAACAGTGATGGTGCTAAGGCAATCCAAGCGGAAGGACAAGCCAGGCTGTGCTAGCTTGGAAAGAGTTGGGTTTCCTAAGTCCCTGCAACCTGCAGCATGGCCATGCAGCGCAGCAGCCACCTTCAGCCCTCGTGTGCTCCCCAGGACTCTGAAACGGCCCGTGAGCATGCGTGTGTCCCAAGCTGCGGCTGAGCCACCTGACCGAACTCTGCAAGGACATATGGCCAAGCAGCAAAGACGGTTACTCCCAGCAATGCAAAGGGCCAGAACTTCCCTGCAAAGATCACACGCCTCAGAAATCATGCACAGAGGAAGTCTTTGCTGGTACATCGTCTCAACAAAGGGAACATGAATGCGGTGATGTTTTCTTCCACATCCAGATGAACCGGTGCCTGGCCATCGCCAGCTCTTGCTGGGCATCACCAGCTTTTAACGTGCTCCAGCACAATGAGCTGCGCCAGGTCCAACCCTGGTTTAAGGAGCTGCCCGGAGCTGTGCTGGTTTGTGGCTGAGCGATAAGCAGAGGCACGTGGAGGGGGCACAGCCGCCTCCTCCTGCTGCAGGTGGGACCATGACACGGCAGAGCAGTGTGAGGAGTAAACCATTCCCCGGGGAAGCTCAAATAATAAGAAACCCTTTGAATCACATGGGTGATGATAGCTTGATTACAAACTTATTAGTGCTGGCAAAGCAAGAAAACTATGCAGTTTTACACTGCATTTCCTCCTCTAGAGGAGAAGGATAATATACACTCTGAAATGTGTCTTCATGGAATAAAATTCTTCAACATTTCTAACTGACAATACTTATGCCATTGCTAGGAAACACTAACAAAAACTATCTTCTCATAGCAGCAAATAGGCATATTCTTGTGGAAGGCAGATTTTTTTGAGGACGAAATAGTTTCAGATGTAGCCTATTGGCTTTCAAGTTGCTGGGATGGACAATATCCCCTGGAGTCAATAGAAGGAGTTTCTGTGCGCCTGGAATTTGGCTTTAACATGAGCTTTATTCTGCAAGGAAGATGGATTTTATTGCTGCACAATCCAGAGCGTAAGAGGCGATCTGTTCTTACAAGCATATGAATAAAGAAGCCCCACCTATGGCTACTTCTGGCCTCTTGAAGGCAAAACACTCAGCAGGTAAAGGTCCAGATACCTTCGGATGAAATCAGTGGCTTTCTGATTTCTACTCATGCTATGAAGAATAGTGATACGATGGAAATTTGATGCCGTGGAGATGTGAGTGTCCAAAGAGGCAGAGGTGGCAGGAGGGTCAGCTCAGCTCGGACAGGCAGTCCCAGAGCCCAGGCGCTCACCAGCTAGCGGAGTGAGCCGAGCCTTCGAAGGAGAGCCAGGTCTTTTGCAAAAGCAGGGTTTAACTGCAACACTTGCTGTTTCCATTGGGCTGCAAATTGTACATAACCTTACTGACTGAGAAGTGTTTTGGTTTCAGTAAATTAACATCTATGTTGTCTGCTCATCTGTTCTTGAAATGCAAATTCCTATTAGTAAAATATACCATCATATGCTTAGTTAACAATAAAAATAGGGATTTTTGACTCGTTCTCTGTCCTCAGTCTAGACAGATTGTTAAATATCATCTTTTATTTTTATATTTCTAGTATTACTTATGTGGCAACATGAATCAACTGGCTATAAATAAATTAAGATGGAAATCAGAAGTGTAATCCTAACCATCAGAGGCGTGAGGTACAGGAACAGCCTTTTAATGTGATTAATGAAGCAAAAATCTAACTAGTGTGAAGATGGAAGTTGATAAATATAGAGAGTTATGTGACATACTTGCATACGTAGCATCATGGGAGTGTCCTTTCGAGCCGGTGGTGCTTTGTAATCAATAAAAACATAATTGGTGTAATACGTTCAGGGAAGCCACTTGTTATGGCTTTTTTTAAGGGAATTCTGCACAAGAGAATGTGTGCAGAACACATCCCACGGAGGGGGCCTAGCCTAGGGCTCTGGCAGAGCAAATGGGTTTGGGGCATCAAGCAAATGGATTTGGGGCAACTGGTGATCTCCTGGGAGAAAGAGTAACTGATGCATTTCATGCGGGCTTTTGTCCTGCTGTGCCTCTTCCTGAGCCACCTAAAACTGAGACATCTCATGAGAATTAGTGCTTTAGGGTTTGGCTGAGTACGTACAAAGACTGGATAATGAGCTGACTTGGGCACCCTTTGAAAATCTACTTGTCTATTAGTAATCCTCAGGCAACAGGTTTTGGCCAGAGAGCTAATCCCTAATAAGGTTGCAAACTGAGTTCGTACATCCCTACATGACTGTTCCTCTCTCGGTGTTATTTGTCAGCACAGAGCTTTTTCTTGAGAGAGATACTGAAGTGTAGAAGGATGTAATAACATTTTGGATTAGAGATCAAATTTTTGAAAGCTTTACTTTGCCCATGGACATCCATAGCCTATGGATTGATTATAGCCAGGAGCACGACACGTGAAAATGTCTGCGTCTCTCGGACACCTCCAGACCTCTCCACCAACCATGGAGGGTGTTGCAGGAAAAACAGCCTCTCCTTCTGGAGCTGTCCGTAGTGACAGTGCCAGGAGGAGGAAATAACAGCTCGTTAGCAATCAAGCAGAATTGAGAGAGCCCATTTAACCCCTTCTCTGCGTCAAGGCAGAGACACAAGGAGATGAGACAGGGAGCTTCAGGGCCCCTGATGGGATGCTGGCAGATGATGGGTGGTAGCGGGAAGAAGTGTAGCAGGTAGGATTTGGCTCACAGTTTGAGGTCCAAAGACATGGTGCTGAGCAGCCAATGAAAAAGAGTCTAAAGAGTTAAAAAACCCTCTTTCTCACATGCACCTGATAAATAAAATTTCCAACTCAGAGATGATCCAAGACCGTTTTCCAATAAGAAATAAACCCAGGGCTTAGAAAATGCACACACACAAAGCAGATGAAACTTAAAAGCATTTTCCCAGCACAGTAGTTTAAAAAAAAAGGCGACCTTTTAAGAAAGCCAGTGAGAGTTCATTTGCAGTAAAAAATAAATAAAAAAATCATCTGGGTTAATCCAAAAAGCCCTACCTCCCAGACACTCTTCTGCCATAGTTTAGTACTCTTTTTAATAGGTGTTTCAGCATTAGGATTTAAAAATTCATTTTCTTTTAGTGCTGGAATAAATGGCAGTCAAGGGCTGAAACATCCTCTCCTTTCCCATCCTCCTCGCTCGATGGAGCATAGCCAGAGTTAGCGGCTGCTCTCTGTCCTTTCCTTGCACATCACTTTCATCCAGATGCGTAAAAGGGAAGAGGTGGAACATCTCCCTCTCTTCACTCTCGCAACGGTCAGCTCTGGAGCTGAGAAAAGTGCATTAATTCTGTCCAGAACTTTTTTAATTGGAAAAAAAAACCTTTGCCAGAGTGCTGCCAACCTAGAGCTTTGCTACACTCATGGCAGCGCAAGCAGATGTCGGAGCATTGCAGAAAGATGTTTCCTTCCTGGGCAAGTTCTCTGATGTCCATGGTGAACCTTTTGCTCACCTGCTTCAGGAGACCCACTCTTGGTGCCCACATGCATCAGCCATTTATGTGTTTCACAGTCCTTCAAACAGTGTGATAAAGAAAATGTAAAACACAGACATTTGGTCCAGACCTTTCAGATACTTGTAGCGGTGAAGGTCTCTGTCCCCTGCTCTGAGCTGTTGCTCCTGCAGCGGGGGAGCCCGGCTGTTCTGGTGTGAGCATTGCATCCTCCCCAGGACCAGACCAAGAACATTTATCTCCTGTGGGAAAATAATATCAGCATGGAGCAAACCTGTTGTAAAATGACCGCTTTCAAAGCCTCTGAGGCAGCGGTCAGTCTGCCTGCCTCTTTCCTGATATAAAGAACATCTGTGTTTAAAAGGACAATGGCTATATTAAAATACCATTAAACTATTATCTTTACAAATAATACACAGGACGTCCTTGCCTTTAAAAGCTCAGGAAGGAATGATATGTCTTTATTTTATTTTTTTCAATGTTGTCAATTCACGCAGCTTGAGGTTCTTCACGTAAAGCATCACCTGCTGGAGGCATGTCATGTGGTGATGGTCTCGTCATTAAAAAATAACTGAGTGGTGAAAAATAAAACACAAGCTCCAGGTGAGGGACTGAGTTGGGAATAAGGCTCCCGTGCATTACCTGCCCGCATCCCTGTAGGTAAGGCCTGACAAACCAGAGTAAATCTGGAATAATCCTGGTGTGGTCCAAGGAATTATGGGAGGGAAAACCCAGCAGGAGATGAGGAAGGTGCCGTCCACAGTGTGGCTGGGAACATGGCTCCTGCTCCCGTGTGCATGCCGGCACTCCCAGGGCTGGCACACCTATACAGCGAGAGCATATGCTCACTCTGAGAGCCGACTGACACGGCAGCCTGCATAGTCTTTAAATATGATCATCCTTGATGCCTGTTACAAGTTTTATTAATTTTAAAAGCTTTCTGATCTCTTCCAGTTAAGCTTTAATTACTGTTCTTGATTTCCAGCCCATAGAAAGATCAAAACCAGTTTAGAGGAAGAGGCGCTTTATTCCTTACCAACCCTGCCCCCTGTCTTCACTGGGGATTATATTTCTTCACTTTGCACATCCATGAGATCATTAAGCATAACGCAGCAGTCAGCTAGCAACATCTACAGAACCGTATTCCCATCGCCTGTGGCAGGATGCCAAACACAGTAAATATGACTTTAAGGTTGTGCAGTTGGTCTTTTGAGCTTTTACAGTTTCTAGCTGGAGGGGAAAAAGAAAAAACGAGACCAGAGGGTGCAATTACTCTTGTTTTCAATTGCCAGTTATGCAGCAGGCAGGTACATGGATATGCTTTAGACCCTTCCTATTTGGTGTGAAGGCCACTGCCACCTTCATCTTAAAACAGCAAGAAGTAGCCAAAAGATGTAACAGGTTGGGGAACTCATTGGTCGCTTC